TCTCTCTCTCTCTCGCGCCCCTTACCTACAATTTTTCCCGCTTTGCACACCTAAGATCCCATCTTATAATAGAACACCACTGAATGAGGCAAAGCATCAGTCTGTCATGCGCCCCTATGCACGCACTCACCCAACACTCTGCCGCCTGCCCTGGCTGACACCGCGCAAACGACCCCGGATGGCCCCAGACATTGGCACCTTTGTTATGTGAGATCAATGATGAAATTGTCAGTGCGGGACGGTGGGGGGCTGGGACGCCTGTGCAAGGCGCTAGGGGTTGCAAAACAGAAAAGGAGGTCAGGCCCACGGCAGATTAGCAAGTCATGAAGGACTCGTAGAGAGGGTCGAGCTTTCACACACCCTCGAGACCTGGAAGCATTGCAGTGGCAGTTGGACGCACGGCTGAGGTTGCGGTGTGCCCAAAACACTGCATTGAAGGTTCCTTCTGGTCAACAACACAATTTAACCCGACTCGCTATCGGCATAGCTGGCGTGCAACAGCCGCCACGCACGTAGGTTGCTCTTGTGCGCCAGCTGACCTGTCACGATCATGCATTGTCCTTTGGCAGGTGTTGTTGTGCTGGCCGCGCAAATCCAAGGGCTCAGCTACTGTCGTGATGTCTTTGACAGAGGTGAAGGGACTGCGCTTTCGGAAGGTTAGTGCAGTGGCTAGGCTCCAGAGGAGGGGCACTGAAGGCGTAGCTGCTGCAGCAGCTGGCCAGCAGCTAAGGCAACGGTGCTGCTCGGAGAGCAGCACGAGGCAGGCAGCTGGTGGGGCTTGTGGGGTGGCAGCGGCCACCCTCCAGTTTGGTTTCTTGTGTATGGCAACACAAGTGGTGTTTAGTCAGCTGCCCCGCCTAAAATGTTTACCCACCCGCTCGCAAATCCCCAGTGCGCTGGGCGTCACCCGGGCGTGCAGCGCCCGCCTGCGCGGCTTCAAGGCCCATGTGCCAGAGGGCCGGGCAGGCCGCCCGCCATACACCACCTTTTCGCCTGCGCTTGGCAGCGCGCGCAATTTGCACTCTTTTTCCTTCAGCCGCTGTAAACATCAACAACCTCGGCTCTTTTGGCTAATCAGCTGTAGCAGCAGCCTCCCCTTCACTGGAGGTGGTCCAGACAGGCCGTTGGGCCACGGCGGTGAGTGCTGCGGGCAGGGTGAGTGCGTGCGGCTGGTGATCCAGGGCGCCTGGAGGCCGACAAGTCATACCCGCGCTCATCCTTGCAACAAATTGTGCCTCCTGAAAAGGCTCAAGGGGTGCAGTGGATGGCACTCGCTGGCCTTTTGGGTCGGCCTTCCATCCTCCCCGTGCGATTACTCCCACTATCCCGCTGTCCATCAGCACTCTCTCTTTCTCTGGGGTGATCCCCTCCTGCCCAGCAGCATCTGCATGGCTAGGCTGTCTCCTACACCGTACAGTGAATGTTATTTATTTGAGAACTGTTGTGGCTTGCTGGCTTGCTGGCTGTTGGGGGTCATCACTCCTAGGTCCTTAAGTCCTGGCTTTTCCTGACTCATCCAGGGCCACCTCCGCCTCAAGCCATCCTGGTGCGGCCTAGTTGGGCGCTGCAGGGCATCGGCATGAGGTTGGCAATGATTTGTTCCTGTTTGTTTGAATTCCTGTGGGCGCAGGTTGCCGACAACCTCAGCCACGCATGTTGGTCCGTCCTTGCCTCAGTGCCGCTGAAAATTCAGGCAGGACGTTGGCTGCCAGCGACGTTGCACGTCCAATACGCTCACGTTTACCCAACTAACGATTTAGAATAGCGTGCCAGAACCACTGGTCGCGCGTCAAGTTTCCTTTGCGTTTGAACGCTCTCAGACCAAGGTGCCCCTCGGCGACGCTCCTCGCGAACAAGAGCTTGCCTGGGTGGGTGTAATTTAAAATGGAATCAATCGATAGTTCCGCGCGCGGCTTCCGCACCCTGGTGGTCGTCGTGGTCGGTGGCCGCCATTGCTGGGCACTGCTGGGCAAGTCACTACAAGAGTGATTGCGCACGCCGTTGCCATCTGGTGCAAAACGCATCACCATCTGGTGCAATGCGTTGACATTTCATTCAAATGTGCTATACTTTTGCTAGCAAGCCGGGCATCAGCAGGCCGTCAACTTGATGAGATTTGCATGCGCCCTGCATCCCATCCTGGCCTCAACTGCGGGGTACCTCGATAGACCGTGCTCCTAGGCATAATCGCCCTCCCAAGTCGGTTCCTCGACATTTCCTAAGCTCTCCTTTTGTCCCACGCAGGCCTGCCCCTGCGCATCGTGCGCGACCCTCACCATGGCGCGCCCTCGCCTGGCAGCATGCGCCGCCACCCTGGCGGCGCTGATGCTGCTCGTGGCGGCGACGCCCTCGGCCGCCCAGGGGCGCGTCGCCGATGAAGCCGTCAGCCGCCAGCTTCTGCAGCTGGGTGGCCTCCTGACCAGCACCGTTGGGACGGTTACAACTGTGCTCGCGCCCGTAACAAACACAACAAACACAACGGGGCTTCTCGCGCCCATCACCGGCACCCTCACCAACACCAGCAGCAGCCTGACGAACGTCACCGGCGCGCTCAGCAACACCACCAGCGCCCTGACTAACATCACAGGCGCGCTCAGCAACACCACCAGCGCCCTGACTAACGTCACAGGCGCGCTCAGCAACACCACCAGCACTCTGACTAACGTCACCAGTGCGCTCAGCAACACCAGCAGCATCCTGGCGCCCATCACCGACGCCCTCAGCAACACCACCAGCACCCTGACTAACGTCACCGGTGCGCTCAGCAACACCAGCAGCATCCTGGCGCCCATCACCGACGCGCTCAGCAACACCACCAGCG